TTTCCCTTCCGAGCCATCTCAATTTAAAGCTGTATGATTGACAACAAAAAATGCGAGTTTCAAAGCTAGTAAACATAAGAATGAAACAGATAAAGCGGTAAAAGTAAGAATAATATAAAATCTCGCCAAATATATTCCCACAAACGATATTTGGCGCACAAATTGTCTTAATTTTATTATTTTACAACTTGAAATGTGGATGTACGAATACTTTTGAAGCACGAGGTTTAGTGGTGAGATTTAAATTCTCACTCTATCGAGGAGCTCTTTATGACCAAATTTAAAAATTTCCTCTTAAAAATTCAAATCATTCATGCAACAACTTGAAAAACATTAAGATTTTTTGAAAATTTCAATTAATTTTTACGCAATTTCAATTTTTATTCACTTTTGAAGTTAGTAATTTAAGTGTACGAATACTTTTGACTGCCACTATATAAAGCTACTTACCGAAACATTTAGTGTTTGTCACTTTTTCTGACACAAAAATGCCAATCTAAAATTTTAGGTACTTTCTTGTAATTTGAATTCACAGTTATTGTGATTGAACTCACTACGCAACAGTCTTTGAAGAAATGTGCAACTAATCGAATGCAATACGTTGAACACGCATTATACCGTCATTTCTAATCTTATAAAGCAATAAATTGTTCTTACACTCAAATGACCGGTTGTGGTAGAAATAAGTTATTATTCGAAACAAAAAAAAATACAAACAAACAAAATATTAACTATATGTAATAGTTAGAAAAAGTTATAAGTTAAATGTGCAAAAACGATAAGATGATAAGCTCATCTTCGATGCAAAAGTTCCTAAAAGGTCATTTGACAGGTTATGGTGTGTTTAGTATTAATAAAAAACTGAATAAGGGAAAAAAGGAAAGGAGTTTTACATAGCAATAAAAGATTCGAAATGTGCCAACACAAATATCGTTTTTGAGCTCAAAAATTTAAGATGGACCTCTAACAAGAAATAAATTTCATTCTGTTTTAATCTGATCTTTTGATACCCTTAACGTTTTAAGCAAAATAGTTTTGTTTGTGTTTTCACTTTTGGAAAAGCCCATTTTTTTAAAGGAATATTTGTAGGGTCCCAAGAAAGTCTTGTACATTTTAATACATTAATCATTCATAACACACTAAGCAATACATATTCAATAGCAACAAAACGATGAATTCGAATGAAATAAAACAGCAGATATATTGCAAATAAAAATATTTTATTTTAACTAATAATGGTACATTCAAAATAAATATTGTTATGCCATTTATTTTCGCAATTCAGGTATGACAATTGTAAAACAGAATTTTAAATTATTCGCGACTAGAACTTGAGTTTACAAACTATCATCTATTTCATTGAATAACAATACTTCCTACGTGTTATACACGTGTACACATCAAAAGCTGCAAGAATAAGATAATTTATTTAAACGTAACTAAAAAAACAGTAAAATATAAAAGAACAAAATAAATATTAAAAACAAGATAGTTTAAATCGAACATTATTTTCTTGACGATTTTTACTCTGATTTTTGGTAAATACTCAAAGAACTTTTATTTATTGCTTGTATAAATTTCATATGCATGATATTTGAAATATTATCGAAAATAAATTATAAGATTACATTTTAAACCATATTACTACTTTAAAAAAATTTCTGACATTGATACAGAATTCTCGCAAATGAAGTATTCAAAATTATTGAAAATATTATATAAATGGGACCATTATCAACAACTAAAGAACAAGCTAAAATAAAGAAATAACAAAATTTCAATTTTTTATTAAAAAAAATTAAAAAAAACTTTAAATGACAATGATTTTTTATATAATGTAAAAAAACTTCTTATATTTTCCGTTTTATTTCAGTTCCAGAAAATTCAAATAAATTATACGATTGTTAAATGTCATTTCATAAGTATTATAACGTATAAGTATTATAAAGTATTATTTTTCAGAAGTATTACACATCAAGTAATGTAATTTTGCTAATTAAAAAACTTATTAACACAGCAATGTATCTACAATAAATTTTAAAACTATTTAATCAACCAGGTAATAAATTTCTGAATCTTTTAAAAAAATGATTTGATTTAAATCAGAGATTATATCAAAATATAACTTGATTTAAACGATTTAATTAACGATGATTTAAATCAACGAATCCTGATTTAAATGCAACTCAAAGCAACCACACAATAAATGAAATTAGAAATAACATAGTACGTATACTGCAACTACTAATTTAATACAATTAAATAATTTAATACAATTAAATAATTTAATACAATATAATATCTCCCCATATGCTAGCAATTTGTAAATAAATAATTATTTTTATGCAATTCATTTAAGATACAAAATTAAATTAACATGAAGAATTTAGTAATAGTTTTAGTTTAAAAAATTTCAGATTAAAGATTAAACAGGCGAGTTTAACAACTTATTTTGTACTTCTAAACATAAGAATATTAAGCCAAGTGCTGTTGTTTTTAAATGTAAAACAGATCCCATTTTAACAAAAAAAAGTTTTTCAATTTTTTTGCTGTTCGGTCAATTTCTGAAATACCTCTGCCGCCAATTCCATATTATATTTACTCCAGGATAACCAATCCGGCTGGATGAAAATATCCGTGTGATGATAAGCGATAAAATGCAGCGCAAAAGACTTCAAGTCTGCATGGTGAACTCTTTCTGCAAGTAATGCTATTTCACAAGCGTTTTTCTCGGACATATCAGACTCCAAAGAGGATGCGCAAATTTCCTTCAGGTGAGGAACACCATAGCAATGGGCAGCGATCACTAGTTTTTTGACACAGTTATAATCCATTTTTTCCACTGTATCAGAGTAGAAAAAGTTCAGCAACAACTTAAGAGTGGCAATATCGACGTCATGGATATCCACTATTTCAAGCATTTCTTGTTGGAACATTTCATGAAATACCGGAGACCGAGCGACTAGAATTGACTTGTGAGCTTCTTCAATCTCATCTCTCACTCGGAGTTTAACGTCACAGGAACTTTTATTAGAAAGCAAATTTCGAATATTGCTCTGTAGGGAGTGGTTAATGATAACACTACCACTGCGATTAATAGTATAAATAGCTAACGATTTTTTACGGTTTCCATACATTACTTCTTGAGATTCTATACCTCCAAAAGAAAATAATTTGCATAAAATACACATATATCCGTAAATACGCACAAATTTGCTTTGGTTAGCCTTCAGATAAGAGATGGTGAAGAATTTAGGCAATATCCACGAATGCTCACCTTCTGAAAACCGGTTCCTGTCCTTTATAAAGAGTACTTGGCAGTCATTGACATCTAACAAACTAATTCTGCATTCGACACATTGACTTGAAACACAATTAGCAATAATTTTTTTTCAACGTCGTCTTCAGATTTAACGAAACAGTATCGATATTCACTCATATCTGGAAATCGGATGAATTCAGTCCCGATGCACTCATATTTAACGTCAGACTCAAACAGCGTTCTTAGTTCGTTACGTCTCGTCCACTCCAATAGAAGACTTCCACGATTAACGATAATTTTAGTTCGAGTAAAACAATTCAAAGAGGTGTCCTCAATGGATTCCGCACTAGACATATAGCAACGAACTGTCAGAATATCTTCCCCCATTTCCAAAATATCCCGTTCCACACGAGATCTTTCAACTAGAATATTTCCTTCTCTAAATTTACGTTCTTCAAAAATTGCATTTTACTTTTCATAAACTCCTAGTATGCGACCACTTGGTCCGATGATTTCTATTTTGAAATCAGTAATAGTATTCCAATCACCCCGACGTTTGCATAAATCACACCAAATTCCGACCGCACTATTTGAATAGTCTGGATATAAATTCATCTGCCAGGACACCTGAATTTCGTCAGTGAAACATTTACTTGAAATAGATTTGAGATGACAAAATGAGAAGTTATTAATTCTCCATGTTAAACAAAATCTATACCTCCTTACGTCTACTGACATTATTTAAAAAGACAGAAAAATCCTTATTGGTATTTGGAAAAAGGGACAGCAGATTATACAGGAGCAATCTAAACTCTAACTTTCCCCAGGATTAAACTTTTTACACGAGACTTTATCAAACGTTGGATATAAAATAATGTTTGGCGCCATACTCAATCATTTTCTACCGTATTTTACGCCAGATAACCGATATTCATAACAGCTTCGTAAGTTTCTTAGGAAGCTGTTCGATTTTTTCATAAATTGATGCAGCACGACGCCACAATCTCATGCTTATTCAGAGCTATAATCATTTTCTTTTGAACAAATAATCGGAAAATTATTGAAATTACTTAACCGTTGCTTCGATTATTCAGTATTTGACAATTTTTACTTAGTAACTTTTTACTTTGAAGGCAAGGAAACTCCTGGATAAGGACCTCCAGAGGTATCATTTGTTATGGGAACATGGAGGTCACCATTTCACTGCACAAGGAGTCTTCGGTCGGCGGGGATCGAACCCACGATCTCTTGTGCCCTTTCAACCAGGCTATTCAGGTTCTACAGTAAAGTGCTCGACCTCGAGCTCAGATCATCGAGCTACCAAAGCGGGTAAGCCATCCCCTCTGCAGAAGATCTAAATTATGATGGCATGTCTTCGGATCATTTTCAGGTGTGTTTCCCTTGCCGTCGGCATCCCTCAATGGACTGGTCGTTAAGACACGGTTCCCAGCAGATCACCGAAGTCAAGCATCACTGGCTGCGGTCAGTGTGCGTGTGTGTTCCTGCTTGGATCAGTCTGCGTAGGGACAGAGGGTGTGTGGTATGGGGTCCTCGTTAAACTCTTCAACCGTAAAGTGCTCAACTTCACTTGCAGGTCGTTTGTCTACCGAAGCGGAGGTGCCATCCCCTCTGCAGAGGATCAAAATTGTGATGGCATGTCTTCGGATCATCCTCATGGATGTTTCCCTGACCGTCGCCAATAGCCCATTGTGCAGCTCTAGTGCGGCGTAAATGAACTACAACAACAACAACCAAGACATATTAACGTGTAACTCGAAGCGTGACTTTGTAAACGCCGTTGACAGTTGCGCTTAAACTTTGAACTGCGTTATTTGTTTTTTTTTCTGGAAAAAATTAATACTAAATAATACATTTTACGGCGAATGTTAATTATAAAACTAAGCAAGAATTTTTTTAGTTTAACATTGGTAATAATTCCATTTTTCGTTGCTGTTGTTGTAGCTTATTTGCGTCGCACTAGAGCAACACAATGGGCTATTGGAGACGGTCAGGGAAACATCCCTGAGGATGAAGATGAATGATCTATCACAATTTTGATCCTCTGCTGATGGGTAGCCCGACAACCTGCTAGCGAAGTGGAGCACTTTACGGTAGAACAGTTTAACGAGGACCCATCTGGCACACCCTCGGTCCCTTCGTAGACATATCCAAGTGGTCACCCACCCGCACACTGACCACAGCCAGTAATGCTTGACTTCGGTGATCTGCTGGGAACAGTGTCTTANACATGTGGCAGACTGCGCATTTTAATCTCCAACGAGTGGATTTTTCTGCCGGAGCGAGTTCTAACATTTATTGGATATGGAAAAATTACACACATATGTCAATTGTAAATAATCGTAAAATTATTAAATTTATAAAATGGCTAGTGCTTTTTTGACTTATTTGTAAACTTTTTAACCCCCCTAAAAGCTACTAAAAAACGCAAAGTTGATTTAGAGTGCCATGCGTTCAATGATGAACAGCTTGAATGTTAAGACACAAGGGAAAAATGAATTCATCAATGATATCTGGGCCCATCTTAAATCTTTTAAACTGAAGCTTAATCTGTTTTCTGGGCAGCTAGCTAAGAACGACTTGTCTTATTTCTCGAGGTTAAATTCAATACCCTTAGTAAATAAGGAAAAGCTTAAATTATGAAGATGGCTTGAAAAAACTCTGTTTTGAATTTGAACGCTGATTTCAAGATTTCAGTGCTATTCAAACAGAATTAGATATTTTTACCATGCCTTTCAGCATTATTGTGAAACAGTGAGGTCGGATTTGCAGCTGGAATTAATTGAGTTGCAATCCAACAATCAGCGGAAGCAGTTGTTTCTAAATAAGCCAAAGTTGGAGTTTTACAAATCATTACCCAAAGTTAGTTTCCAAAATTTGATCTCATGTCCCGAAAATCAGTGCTATGCTTGCTTCATTTTATATAAGTGATCAAGTGTTTTCAGCTATGAACCTTACGAAAAATCGTTTTAGAAGTAGACTAATAGACAAGCATTTAGCCTCGTTCCTTAAAATAAGCACATCTCACTTCGAACCTCAATATAAGGAAATAAAATCGCAATTTCATTCATCTCATTAAATATCTAAATTAAAACTTGTATATCGTATTTTTTATTTTAATTTTAGAAGTACTTACTTGGCCCACTAAACTTTTTTTTCCTCGAATTTTGGCCCTTGACCAAAAAAGTTTGCCCGTCCCTGCACTAGAGCTACACAATGGGCTATTAGAGACGGTCAGGGAAACATCCCTGAGGATGAAGATGAATGATCTATCACAATTTTGATCCTCTGCTGATGGGTAGCCCGACAACCTGCTAGCGAAGTGAAGCACTTTACGGTAGAACAGTTTAACGAGGACCCATACGGCACACCCTCGGTCCCTTCGTAGACATATCCAAGTAGTCACCCACCCGCACACTGACCACAGCCAGTAATGCTTGACTTCGGTGATCTGCTGGGAACAGTGTCTTAACTCCACTGCTGGACTAATTCTATTTATAAAATAATAATACTTAATTGATGTAATACATTTAATTTTATTTGATGCTTCAGTTAAATATCGTGCAAAATTACATGCGTATAGAAAAAAAATTTGCTTTAATATTTGTTACAAAAAATTTTACTGAATTGTCAACAAATTTTAAATTGATTAAATTCCATAATTTATTTAGTTATTGATTAAATTCCATAATTTAATCAATGACTTTTTTGAAAAATCGTGAATTTCAATTTTACCAGCTTTTATGGTCATTATTAAGAATTGATTAGGGTACATAAGAAAAAAACATCACTGTAAGAGTTATGACACTTAACCTGAAAGAGAAAATTAGTGTAGGATGTACCGGACAGTGGCATTTAAAAAATAAAATAAAAAAAGAACATCCGCGGTTCAATACTCTTGTGTTGTCTTCTCAAATCTGTGCTATCTGTTCTTAAATTTGACACGAATTTACAAACCATTGTTTGTTCACAAAACTGCGCGTGTATCTTAAAAGAAGCTTTTATTTACTCATTATTACTCATACACATGCGTACTTATTAGAGTCAAAGCTGAAAAATTAATTCCTCTTTCAAAAAATCAAAAGGACATAACACAGATGCATCCATGATTACGGAGAGACACAAACTCTCTACCTCCATTCTAAGCGTTTGGATTTACTGCGAGACCGGCTGGACAGGATATGTAGTAGATAGGTAGTGTGGGGAAATGTAATATCGACTATGCCAACCTTCTACTATTGAAAGGTACCTCAAGATTGAATCAAGTTAACATGTCTTATATACTAGCGAATTGGTGTTTAATTTTCGTAGTGGTAGTTACGCCACAGTAGGTACTTTATTACCGTCGTACTAGAGCTGGACAATGAGCTATTGGCGACGGTCAGGGAAACATCCCTGAGGATGTTTCGAAGACACGCCATCGTAATTTTGATCCTCTGCAGAGGGGATGGCTCCCCTGCTTTGGTAGTTCGACGACCTCGAGCCACCAAAACTCGAAGCACGACGAAGTTGAGCACTTTACGGTAGAACAGTTTTAACGAGGACCGATACCGCTCACGCTCGGTCCCTACGCAGGCTGATCGAAGTGCTCACCCACCCGCACATTGACCGCAGCCAGTGATGCTCGACTGCGGTGATCTGCTGGGAACCGCGTCTTTACCATCAGTCCACTGCGGGACAGGGAGGACACTGCAAAGCAAACTAATTAGAAAGAAACATCACTATTTAATGTATTTATTTGTCTGTTTTTACTCATACAAAAGATTTGACTTAAAAACCTAAGATTTTCACAATTCAAACTATTTTTTAAGTAAAAATTGAATACCTCATTATAGACATTTAGAAAGAAATATTTTG